GATCTTCCCAACCCAGGGATTGAACCTGCATCTCTTATGTCTGCCTTATTGGCAGGCAGGTACTTTACTGCTAGTACAACTTGGGAAGCCCGGTAGACAATGTTTGTGTCCTGCTTAGATCCATAGATTGAAGCCCTAAACCTCAATGTGATGGTATTGGGAGGTAGGGTCTTGGGGAGGTAATTATGTCATGAAGGTGGAGCCCCTATGATGGGATTAGCACCCTCACAAGAAGAGGAGGAGAACAGAGCTCTCTCTCTCTGCCAAGTGAGGGCACAGCTCAGAACAGCTGCTCAGAAGAGGTCTCTTATTAGAACCCAGCCTTGCTGACTTCTAGCCTCCAGACTATGAGAAAATAAAATTTTATTTAAGCTCTCCAGTCTATGGCATCATTGTTATAGCAGCCTGAGCTAGGACACTAATTGAATGCAGTACTGACCAGGGATTCAAAGAACCCATCCTTGGCCTCCAAGGGCATCTCATGAGAGACCAGAGGTTTGTGCAGACTCTCCTGTTTTGAGAAGGCTGTGCTGCATTTCCAAGTCAAAATTCCCTCTTGATGCACTTGTGAAGCTTAAGCAATTTGTTGTAGAGATGACTTTAACCTGACTCGGGCTCAGCTATCTTTAGTGCGTGATGTTCCAAATGAACCACGCGACTTGCCCAATCTAGTTGCTGTTGCCATTTGTAAAAGAAGAAAAAGCCCATTAAAGGAAACATCAAGGGTATTCTTGGAGGTGAAGAGAAAACAGCAAATCGTCACACGTTCCCCAAGGCTTGTGCGTGAACTGAAAAAAGGGAATATCTTACATATTAATAGGAACTTAAAGGAGGCCTGCTGAGATGAAACACAGAACTGTGTGAATCTGAATATCAGATCGACAACAAATCCTTAGTGTAAGTGTGTTCCACTTGGTGTCCGCTTTTCTTAGGTGCCAAAGCTGGCAAGTCTGCCTTTGAGCCCTGCTACTCAAAATGCGATCCCTGTACCAGAAACCTCTGCTTCCCTGGGAAACGTATTAAAAACGTAGAATTCAGTTCCATCACAGACTTATTGCATCAGAATCTGCATTTTTTAACAAAACCCCCCAGATCTTAGCCTGTCCATTTGAGAGGCGCTGCTTTAGAGTTTACCAGCTATTCTCACAGACTTGATTGCATTGGTCTTTAAAATTGTCCCAATAGGTGGCAAGGGAAGGAGCAGGGGAGGACCTTTCCTGATCACCTGGTCCTGTTGTCAGAATGGAGGTTTCCATGCTGGCAGGGTCATGGGCGTGCCCACAATTTCCTCCCATCAGAGGGCACACTCTCTTCCTTCTACCTCACCTTCTGTTTCCAGACCGGCTGGGCTTCTGGAGCACACTGAAATCTGCCAGAGATGGATGAAGGAGAGCAGGAATGAAGATGGGCCCACGTTCCAGGGGAGACACTGCCCATACATCCTTGACCATCATCCTCAACACAGCCGCTCTTACCTTGCAGTTGCCATAGCAGCCGCATCTGTGTATATCCTGTTTTGCATCAAAGTCATCACTAATTTCAACAGGCGATATTCATTTTGTAATAGCTATTTGGGAAAACAATACACATTGGGGGACACAGAGTGACATATCCATTGCAGGAGCCCTTTTGATTTTGGACCGTTAACATATGAAATAGACATGCTTCTGAATCAAGGAAGTATGGTAGAGAGCTTGGAGCAGCATTCAGAAAGCAATCAGGAGAAAAATGGGTGATGGCAGACAAGTCTGAGCAAATACTTAGGATAAAAGGGCTGCAGAGACTGTGGCTAAAGGAATTGGATGGATAAAATATTGTACAAAGAGGAAGAAATATCTAGGTTACCGGCAGCCTCATCCACAGGCCTGAGTTTTAAAACTCCAGACAATTTCTATCAATGCTAGTAAACATTGCTGTTCCACACTTGATAGATATTTTTTGAAATAAGAGTTCTGGTTCTTTTATTTCACAGAGTGACAAGAATAACCTTTCTTTCTTTCTTTTTTTTTTTTTTACAAGCATTCCTAAACATTTCAGAAAGCCTTTCGTTTGAAAGTCCATACTTCAAAAATAGGGAAAAAATATCTTGTCTGCATTACAAATAGATTTTTCAACTTACAAAATAGTTCAGTGGAATTTTTATCTTAGTGACAACTTCTCTCCTGTGTTCCTAGATCAATTAACATTTGGATGAGAAGAAAGCTTTAATTAAATTTAATCCAACAAGCCTGTATTGGTTATCTACTTATAATGTTATTAAATATAAAGTTATAATATTAAGATTTCATTATAATGGAAGAATTAAAAACACAAGAACTAAGAAAACCCTGTGAAATTTTAACTTTTCAATGGAAGCATAATTTGAGTCACAAATATTTGCCAGTATTATCTTTTTAATAATACATTGGGTTAAATTCTGGAATAGTCCTGCAAGTGATTTTATTGTATTAAATTTGATGATTTCCCTCACCTGCATAAAATCCTCTAATGGCTTCTCATGGACTCGGGATAAAATTCATATCTGGTTCCTGAGTACCGAGCAGGTGTGGCTTGTGGCTATGTCCTTTCCCAACCCACAGTCCAATGGGATGATACTTAAAGATCCAAAGTCCACTGTCCTGTCTCCAACCGCTGGGCCTTTTCCTGTGTTGACAGACACCACTGCCATCACACAGCACTTAACTGACGGAGCCTTGCTGAGGCTGGGTTGAGGGTGTGCTTCATAAGATTGCTGAAGGACTGAATGAACAAAAGAACAAAGAATCTACTTCATTTGTTCTCCTAGCCCAGGGATGGCAGTATATATCTGTCACTTGTTTTAGAGTCAGGAAATTGAAGTGAAATGGCTTCTCAGGTGGCTCAGTGGTAAAGAATTTGCCTGCAATGCAGGAGATGTGAGTTTGATCCCTTGGTCAGGAAGATACCCTGGAGAAGAAAACGGCAACCTGCTCCACTATTCTTGCCTGGGAAATTCCACGGACAGAGGAGCCTGGCAGTCTACAGTCCAGAGGGTCGCAAAGAGTTGGACAGGACTTAGCGACTAAACAACAACAACCGAGGTGAAAACAATACTCTCTAGGGTTTGGGAGATGTCAGCTTTCACCTTAGTTCATCAGCTATCCTTAGACTAATGGTTTACCCTGTCTAGATTCCTGACTGCACAATGAGGAACTTGGCTGAACTATCCCAGGCTCTTCTTGCTCTAACTTCATGGTCTTTATCTTCCCCATTCATTTTCTTGATGCAATGTAGTCCCCTCCCCAGTCCTTCCAGCAAACCTTTCTTTATATTTCTTCTGTAAGAATTTACAGGGACTTCCCTGGTGGTCCAGTGGTTAAGAATTCACTTTCCAATACAGGGGTTGCCGGTTTGATTCCCGGTCAGGAAACTAAGATCCTGCATGCTGAGGGGCAGCTAAGCCCCCTTTCTGCAACCACTGAGCCTGTGTGCCCTAGAACCCCTGCGCCACAGCTAGAAAAGCTCACGTTCTGGAATGAAGACCCAATGCAGCCAAAATAAAAGTAATAATAAAAAAAGAAATTGTCCATGCACTAATATCCAGTAACCTGTGTAATTCTCCATGGGAATGCAGTTCAAACACAGTCGCCATTTCAACCAAGGCTTAAAGGTAAACACAGATGGGCAATGGAACAGCTTGAAAAATCAACCACTTTATTCATTAGGCCATCTGGTCATCCTTTACAGTGTCTTTCTGTACAGTCATTAGGAAAAGACACATTAGAAGCTGTTAATTCACAGCCGAATTTGCTGGCCCAAGGTCCCCTTCATAGAAGACTGAATACTGCTAAGTTACTAAGCATTTTTGAGGGGCAGCATTGTTGATACTGTGAATAGCCTTTGGTACCCTCATAATTTAAGACTGTCACGTGGATATTTAGGGGGTAACTTGAAATGACTGCAGTCCTTTCAGCAGCTGTCTTGTTTCCCACTTGCTAATCTCTCTCTAGGGTGGCTAATAATACCATTACCAATAGAAGCGAAAAATGCAACTCAGCAGTGTAAGAAATTATACCCAATGAGCACCTCACTTTCACCCCTGCCTCCTGCAGCTTTGTGTGAACTTAATATCCATGAATCTTCTTGTTCTCTCTTCATCACAGCTGTTTCATATGCTCGAAAATGCCCAATAAGGTCGCAGAACAGACCCCTCCTTTTAGCTCTTCCACCTGCCTGTTGATCCCCAAAGATTCCTTGACTCCAATTTACCAGCTGCTTTGCTCACCTGCATCCCTGCTGAGGAGGCTTTGAGCAGACTCCTTTCCTGGTGTCTGCCCTGCCTGCCAACTCCCAGCCAGTTCTCCCATCCAACTTCTCCACCCTATGACAACTCAGGCCAAGCCTATTGCTGGGCTGAATCAAGAAAGTCAGAAATTCCATACCAAGGGGCAGTAGCCTTGGGCAGCAGAGTGGAGGAGGAGAACAGAGCCATCTCTCAGCAGGAGATTCCAATGGGACTTTCTAAGGCACTGGACTTACGAGAATGCTTTCCTGGTTGTTATTTTCTTTTTCCCTTACCCTTCAAATGAGACATCAGTATTTTCTTTTTCTCCCAGGGTGAAAAAAATTCCAGTTGAATGCTCACTTCCTGTTTAACTTGTAATGGAAAAAAAAACCCCAGTAAGCTGTGCAAAATTTACCTGTGGATAGAAATAGCTGCGCTACCTTAAAGTCATTAAGAGAACATACAAAGCCCTTTGTGATCTCAAGATGTCCGTAACCTGGCATCTGTCACCATCCCTGCGTCCTCGTCCGGGGGGAAGGCATGCAGAACAAGGATTCCACGCTTAATGGCACCTTGAGAGTAAGTGCTCCCAGGTGCCCATCAAACCTGTCACTCTGAACAGCTGTCGCTAAGTGACGATGTGTCGCTCCACCCTCCGCTGGCTTTTGCATAAACAGGTCTGCAGCGTTGTGCCAGGAGAGCCTTCCAGGACGGGATGTGCATCATCCCTTCCACAAGAATAGCGAGCCACTCTCACCTGGCTTTGCTGTGCCCATTCCAACACTCCTCTTCATTGGACGTGCCCGCCGTCACGCTCTCGTCCTTGCAGATGGTGTAGGGCAATGTTGACCAGACCTTTTTAGAGAGCTTCAGTTTCTCTTTTATGTCTGTGACCTGATCAAGAAAGCAAGGAAAGAGAGTGAACATTCTTGCTGGGCATTGTCCATTTCTACACCAGGACATGGTGCAGGGGAAGGTTAGAGAGTCTGTGATGGGAGGAGCACAGATTCCCCATCAGCTTTAAGAGAGCACCCATCCTGTAGGACTTATTGCCCAGGGAAGCCTCACTTCCTCCTTCCTCCACTTCCCTCTAGCTTCTGGCAGAGTGTTCTCAGATAATTGACTCATGGTTTTCCATTTTTTCCTGCCCTCCCATCCTTTGAATTAGAAACTTATGAGGCATCTCAACTGGCTTCGGGGCCCCCTCTGGCTGGGAGAAATAAGGGTTCCCTACTGCAAACACCCTCAATCTGATCTTCAGGATTCATTTGCCTGGATGTCAGATAAATACACCTAGGGGATGAAAAAAGAGATACAGTGTGTTCCCCAAAGGTCTACTCATTTCTGCAAGAAATGAGCATAGTCACTAATTCAGCCGCTGGTGACCCTTGCTCTTGACCAGTGGACAGGCCCACACAGCACACTCCTGGACAATGAGCAGCACCCTAAACCCACTTTAAAATCTCTAGTAGCAGAGACAAGAGTCATTCCAAATACGAGTAAACGTAAAATCCACAGTCCTGTGGATGGATGGCTGGGAGGAGCTTGGTACCAGCAACTTTAGGGTTTTCAGGCTCAGCTCTGACTTTTCGTCTGCAGAAAGGGTAGGACAGGGACTCAGTACCATTTTGGCTCCACAATAAGAATCAAGGTTCATGCAGTCACACCATGATGTTCTACTCTGTTTATAAGAACATGGGGAAAAAATCTATGGATGGTGGAAACGTCGCTGTTATAGGTCCAATTATGTCCTATAATATTCACATACTCAAGTCCTATGCTCAGAACCTCAAGAATATGACCTTATTTGGATCTGAGATCTTTACAGAGGTAAGGAAGTTAAAATGAGGTCTTTAGGTTGGCACTAATCCAATAGCACTGGTGTCCTTATACAAAGTGGGGCTTTGACCACAGGGGTATGCACAGAAGCAAGACAATGTGAAGAGATGCAGGAAGAAAACATTCGTCTACAGGCCAAGGAGAGAAACCTGGAAAAAATCCTTTCCTCACAGCCCTCAGAAACAACCAGTCCTGTTGACATCTTGATTTTCGACTTCTGGCTTCCAGAACTATGAGACCATACATTTCTGTGGTTTAAGCCACCCACACCTCATTGTGACAGCCTGGCAGACCTATACCGCATCCTAGAAGGGAGGACCACTCACATTGTAATCAGTGGCCTTCGGAAACCAAGTGTGCTGTGTTTACTATGGATGGAGTGCAGATCTGAGAAAACACTTCAACGATCCGGTGTCAGGTTTAAGAGGAAACACAAAGAAATAAAAGAGCAACATTTCATGCTGTCCCTAGTCATATTTCTCAGTAGTTTCAGAGCTGTACAGTTTTTGGTCCTTGCTTATTTGTGATTCTGATGATGACAGAGATTTCAGCCCTGGGAAATGTCTGTTCACCTGTCAGTTACTGAAGATGACCAGAATGTTGAACCTAAGAACTTGATACATATCCTTGAATGGTGTGATGTTATTTTTGTTTCAGAGCATAAAAAAAAATCTGCAAGTGATGAAATTCCAAAGAGTGTCTTATACTCGGTAAATCTCAGGGCAGCTTAAAAACTACACTCTCTGATTTCCTCCACTGGTGCTGACTTTGGTCCATAGACTGCCCCCTTGGCTCTCCTTCCAGCCAAGCTGTCTGCCTAAAAAGTGTTAGCCACCTAGTTTTGTCTGACTCTTTGCGACCCCATGGACTATAGCCCACCAGGCTCCTCTGTCCATGGAATTCTCCAGGCAAGAATACTGGAGCGGGTAGCCATGCCCTCCTCCAGAAAATCTTCGAAACCAGAGATGAAACCCGGGCCTCTTACATTGCAGGCAGATTTTTCACACCACCAGGGAAGCCCCTCTGACTGGCTAAAGGGACTGCAGTAATGCCAGTCCTTTTCTGCTCACCATTCTTAGCACAGATTTATATGCATATTGTCATTGGTTTTTAAATTTTTTTTGTTTTAAATATGTGTAGCCATTTCTGTCCAGCCATAGGTGGATGGACACTCTGCTTAACAACTATTTAAAAAACTTCAAATCCCTGAAACCCCAATTAAGAAACGCTGAAAGCATGACAGAAAAATCACCATTCTGCAGCCATCTCATAGTAATAACTGATTTCAGTGAGTATCATCAATAGATTCTGTTGTGGGTTCACCCTAAAAGATGGGTCCTGCTCACCAGTACCTGTGAATGTGAATGTGACCTTATTTGGAAATGAAATCTTTGTAGATGATCAAGCTAAAATGGGGTCATTAGGGTGAGCCCTAATCCAAAATGACTTTGTTCTTATCAAAAAAGGAGACTTAGATACAGAGATACCCACCGGGAGGAAACCCTGGAGAGGTGTGGAGAGAAAGGCAGAGATTGGGATAATGCTTCTATAAGCCAAGGAACACCAGTGACGGCCAGTGAGCCACCAGAAGCCAGAGGACAGGCCTGGGGCAGACTCTCCCTCTTAGCCTCAGAAAGGAACAGCCCTGCTGACACTGGGGTCTCAGACTTCCAGCTTCCAGACTGTGAAAAATTAAGCTTCTATTCTTGTAAGCCACCCAGTTGGTGATTATACAGTCCTAGCAAACTAGCACAAGCTCAAAGAATACTGGGTAGAAGTTTGATGGGGAACAGGATATTTACACAATCCCAGAGCATCCCCTGGGCCTTCCCTAATGGCCTAGTGGTAAAGAATCTGCCTGCCAATATAGGAGACATGGGTTCCATCCCTGGGTTGGAAAGATCCCCTGGAGAAGGAAATGGCAACCCACTCCAGTATTCTGGCCTGGGAAATCCCATGGACGGAGGAGCCTGGCGGGCTACAGTTCGTGGGGGTGTCACAAAAGAGTCGAACACAACTGACTGACTAAACAACAACAACAAAGCATTTCCCACAGATTACTTATTATTACAAGAGGACAACTGATAATCACTTTACAGGGCCCAGACCTGGCAGCCCCCAACTTAGCCAAGTGATCAAAGTCATGGGACAGCTTTGTACTGGGTACCTCCTGGTGTGATGGGACAGGACAGAAACATCACTTATGCAGCAAAAATTCATAACCTCAATCCAATCATGAGGACACACTAGACAAACCCCAACTAAGGGATGTTTTATGAAACAGCTGGTCTGTATTCCTTAAAAATGTCAGTCATAAAAGATGCAGAAAAGCTGAAGAATTTGCCCAGGTTAAGGAGACTAAGAGACATGCTGTCCAAATACAGTGGATGGCTCTGGATTGGACAATAGATTGGAAAAACAATTGCCCAAAAGGATATGTTTAGTTGGAAAAATTTGCACCCTGACTCTATATTACATAATAATATTGTATCAATGTTAAATTTCTTGAGTATGAACTCCTATTGTGACAACACAGGAGAATGTCAAGTTCTTAGGAGATACACATTGGCGTATATAGAACTAAAGAGATACGATTTCCACATCTTACCCTAGAATGGTTCAGGAATAATAAATATAAAATATATATATATATATATATATATATATATATATATATATATATATATATATATAAAGCAAGAGAGAGTGAGAAAGCACACATAAGAAATTTTTAATAATCGGTGAATCTAGAAGGAGATATATTTTTTTCCCCAAAGATTGCAATTTTTCAGTAAGTTTGAATTTCTTTAAAAAAAATAAAACATGTCAAAAATAAAATCCTTAACATGTGATTTGTTCAGCAGAGTGCCATTCTGATGTCCCTAACTTCTAACCTGAACTATTCCCTTAGGCCACTTATCCTCACTGTTCTCAAATCCAGCTTCAGGATGGAAATACTGTAGGCTCTATTCCATCCCACAATAGATACACCAAGAATGAGCCTTCTCTTTTCTCTTATTTCATACAGAAACCCCACCTTTAACCTGTGGGAGTCTGAACCAATTATATACATTTTTCAACACAGGGAAAGAGGAAAATAGCATGACATCCCACAGGTATCTCCTTTTTTGATATTTGCCAAATTGAAGTGTATATTATGCTACTTTTTCTTTTAATCAAACTCAAGCATTGTATCTTTCATGGTTTATTCTCAACACCACCCCCTCCCCTGACACCCATGAGACTTGGATGGAACTTTCTGTGTTCTAAGAGGGCCCCCATTCACGATTCTGAGTACTGATCGCTCCAATCCTTTATAATTGGCTTATTTTTCTGATTCTAAGACCACATGCTTCTTCAAGGCAGGGACAGGGTTCTAATTTGTCTTTATTCTCAGTGCTTAGAAGGGGCCGGGTGACCAACCATCTCATTTTGCCCAGGACTTAGGGGGATCACTAATTTTGAGTGCAAAAACTGAAAAGTCCTGGGCAAAGTGAGATGAGTTAGACACACAGGTTTCAGCATACAGTATGTGTTCAATAAATGCTGGTTGAGAAAATCACTTATGCAGCAAAAATTCAGACTTCCAGCCTCCAGACTGTGAAAAATTAAGTTTCTATTATTGTAAGCCACCCAGTTGGTGATTATGCAGTCCTAGAAAATTAGCACAAGTGCAAAGACTTGTACAGGGTCACAGACCTTACAGTTAACAGAAAATAGTTGAGGGTCACACCATGTGGGCTCTTATCTCAAAAGGGCCAGGAGGCTCTGAGGGTCCCCCCAGGACTTGTATTAATATCTGCCTTAGTGAGGAGTGTGGGTCTCTTCTGACCATTCACACAGCACATTTCCTAATCAGATCGTGTTCACTCTGGCATTTCAGAAGCCAGGCATTTTCATTGTGCAATCGAAGGTGATAACAGCAAAGAAGCAGTAAGAGATACAAAAGCTGTTTTAACATTCTGCACGGAAACACCGTCCAGTTCACTTCCAGACTGGAGTGGTGAGGCAGACAGCTGAAAAACATGGACACGATTAGCCACCGGAGAGGAATA